AAGACTGCCGACGCAGCACTCCTTAACCCCAGCAGTGCAGAAAGCCCTTCTTATCATACTTATCATGTTACTTCCCATGCTTAGATAAGGCATAATAATAACTTTGTGGTTCAGATAACATTGATTTTTTTCTGAAACTGCAGACGTTGTAGAATTACTGTAAAATCAGCAGTTTTTTTACATACATTTTCACAAGAACTACTTTTTGGCCGCCATGGTCATGATGGTCACAAAACGTTAATACCCAGAGCTCCAAATAACTTTTTGAGCAATTGAGTTTTTACTCCAGGGTTTCTATTTTAATTGGGTTATTACATTTTTCATTGTGTAACCAATTTTTTTTTCACTCATCAATTCATCACTCTTTTCGTTTTATTCCGAAAATTAGTGAACATTTTAAGATTTTTAAAAAATTAAAAAATGTTTTAGATGAATATAACTGTTCTAAATATATAGGCTTGGAAAGTAAAATAGCTTGTAATTGTGTTTTGAAAATTAGCTCCTTTGCACACACAAAAAAAGCTTCACTGGGTATTTAAGCGTGCTGTTTTTATAATTTGAGTTTTTCATTTAATGCATGTGTTTCTGTACACAAGTTAATTCAAAGTAATTGGGTTTTAAATATTGTGTGTGTGTGTGTGTGGGGGGGGGGTATTTTATGCAAATACGCTGCTTATAATATATGTGTAGCTCTGACACCATTGAAAAAAAAGTTCAGGGTTGCACCTAAAATCGCTGTAAACATGTAAATCATCAGTAATTGGAACTGTTTCAGGATCTACGTGGTTACACCCTTAATTGTTACTATTGTCATGCACATGATACACACACAGACATACATGATATATACTTGGAGATATGTATCATCAAGTGATCATCATGATCACGTATGTATCATCATCATATATACTTGGATATATACATGATAATGATGATATATACATGACATCTACATGATCATGATGGATATACTTCCATTATCATGATTATACCATGTATACACTATATATACATGAGATATACACGATATATAATCATGATGATATAAACTTCAGATACACATTATCATGATGATAAATCATGCATATACTTGAGATATACTTGAGATATACATGATATATACATGATATATACTTGATTTATACATTTTTATACTTGAGATATGCATGATCATGATCATGTGAATACTTGAGTGAGTGAGTGAGTGAGTGAGTGAGTTGGGTTTAACGCCGCTTTTATGTGTATACTTGATATAGTACCATCTATGACATCCCTACATGTTCATTGGGATCTGCTCCACCTCACTCAGCAGGACATCATTGAGACCAGGGCCTAGTGACTGCAAAATGTCCAATTTGAAAAAGTGCAAATCGGACACTTTAAAATTTGGTCAACATCAATCACCACATGCACACTGACCTACATCCCGATAGGTTGAAATAGTAGTATATATCAGATCTATGTGTCTATCAAGTGTTGTGCGCGTTATAACATGTCGTGTATCTATCCCTTCAGAGAATTGAGGTGAACGGACAGGTATAACAGACTTGGCAAATAAAAGTATGAAATTGGATATAAAACATCACTAGACATGATGATTTACCATTTAAATTGTATTTCCTGCTCTCCAGGGCATTATTTTTATGCCGAGATTAAGAATACCGTGTGTATTTTCTCGTAAACTTAGCCAGAAATAGCAATCAGCTGTACACAAGTTCGCTCCCAATCTACCACGATCTACCTGTGATTCAGTTCAAAAGTACCCAATGATACAACTTCAAAGTATTTTGATGCAATGGTTTGGAAGAAACTGTTTCTGAAATTATTGTTTTATCAGGAATAATATATTCCAAAATTGGGTTATTTTAGTTGCAGCTATTACCATATATATTAAAAATTATAAGAACCATAAGCTTAACACTTTGGTACAGCTGACTGCAATTGCAGGATATAATGGTAATTTAATATTTTAGTATGTGAAACAACAACAGTACTTACTCGTTCATATTTAATCTACCAATTACAGGTCAGTCACCTCATTACTTTTATAATCAACACGATTTGTTAAACCTCTATCATCTAAATTTGTTTCATTCCGTCTGGATCATGTTACAGTAATTACTTCCCACAATTCACTTCCAAACAGTCTGGGCATGCCCAGTAAGGCGGACATGACATCACAGTGTTTACCATTATCAACCCATCAACCCGCACGACGTTACTTTCTCCATTGTTTCAAGCCACTTACTCGTGTTGTTACCGTCCAGCCACCCCTTAGCTCCTCCTGTATTGCATTGCTTCAACTATCGTGTGTATCATGTATGTGGTTTCTGGATCCGCTTGTACTAGAATTGTATTGTCATGCATTCCATAGTCATATATCAGGCGTGTATATGTATATACCATATTCGACGTAATAAGCGCCCCGCTCTAATAAGCGCCAATGGCGATAATTGCTAACATATTAGCTAGTGAACAATCCCAATTATCACCCCTTCCGATTGATCAATGTACACACGGCTTATCTATTCGCGTACAATAAGCACTCGTGTGTTATATGCAACTTAATTATGGGAAATTTAATTCTGGAAAAATATATCTGTCGTACATAAACATTTCAGGCTGTCAGCATAAACCACGAAATTTATCTTTCAACTCTGTTTTTTCCACCAAAATAATATTCTAATAAGAGCCCACTATTCGTAATTTTGAGAGCGCCCTGGGCGCTCATTACGTCAAATACGGTATGTATATATTTTTATCTTCTGTGTCTGCCTCGGTGTCACAAGCTACTCCTTACACACAGCGTGGAAGGCTTGTGGCCCCCAAAGAACATTACGCTATTTCGGTAGTCATCGGTACCGTCCGGTCAGCACGACCAGGACCAGCTTATCTCTAGGGATCGTCCGGGTCATCAGACCCCAGGACCGGCATATCCCTCCTACAGCTACACAAGCCTGGGTCTCTAAGACCCCAGGACATTCAGTCATCTTACCCGGGTCACCATGACCCCAGGGTGTCAACCCGGGTCACCTCGACCCCAGGGTCTCACATAGGCAACTGAGGCAGCCCCCACATTATGCCAAATATTTGTATGTAAATATTTGTATGTAATAAAAGTTCCTTTCATGTACTACATTTGATGTTGTTTGTGGCACAAATTTACATATGGACTAATTTGACAAGTCACGATAGAGACTTCCCGCGCTACATGTATTTCGATTGCGAAAACGTTATGTTGACATATAATAGTCACATTGCCACAAATATGACTTTTAACGATTGTAAGTATGGCATTTATGATATATGTATCCATTCTCTGGCAACTAAAGTCCATTTCAAGGTGTCGATAGAGGTAATCTGACTGTGGTTGCTGTAAATAACGGTGAGTTGTGCGATCTGCCGATCACTTCAAACACGATTTCACCAAAATTAATGTAAACAATATTGAATAAAATTTTGAATAAAACATTCAAGCAATATCATGGCGGGGGACACCAGAAATGGGCTTCACACATTGTACCCGAAATATATTACAAACATGAGTGTTACGGCATGCTATAACAAAGGTAGTGCTGTATTAAAGGGCGCAATAGCGAGGAAACACTATATATGCAAATGTCTGATTGGCAAAAAAATATTTCCGGATCCCTGGTTGAGACAGAAAGTGTCTACCCATATTTTAAATATGAATCATCATACATTGTTTCGTTTCATTTCACTTTAAAAGGATCTTCTGAAAGTTAACATGTTCCATGAATCCAACTGAAAGTTGTTTTCCATTTCATCAATAGATGCTCGACTGCGTTTTCCTGAGCACATTTTACCTTTTTCTTGCAGCTAAAGGTAATAATTTAGACGACCCATTACACGTCAGTTGAGTCAAAAACAGTGTGGCAATTCCCACAAACTGTACTTGCCATTGTAAATCTTTTCCCTCCTTTTCACTATATTATGATTGTAGGTTATTAGACAGCTCACTGCAGGCCAGACGAGCTGAACTGAGAGGGTCAATCCATGTTTTCCACTTTTAATTGTGAGTGGTACTTACTAAGGGTATGTGGAAATATCGGTAGATCGGTAAATTGAAGTTCATTCTTTCCATGATACGTTGGTTGGTTTGTTGTTTAACGCCGCACTCAGCAATATTCCAGCTATATGACGGCGGTCTGTAAATATTCAAGTCTGGGCCAGACAATCCAGTGATTAATATCATGAGCATTGACCCATGCAATTGGGATCGATGACATGTATCAACCAAGTCAGCGAGTCTGAGCACCCGATCCCATTAGTCGCCTCTTATGACAAGAATAGTCGCTTTTTACGGCAAGCATAGGTTGCTGGAGACCTATTCTAACCCGGATCCTCACTGGTCTCATTGTAATGAAACTGTTGAATACTTAGGGTTCAGAATATACATAATATGCGGATAAGATCTACATTTGAGAAAACACTGTGTGCTACCAGCATCTTGTTTTGTTCCGTTTAAGAACTTCAATTCATACATTCATGCTGCAGATTGCTTCTGAATTTAAAATTTAGAATCATACAGTATATCATGATACTTATCACAATACAGACATGTCCATCGCAAAATGTTGTGATACTGTATTCGACGTAATAAGCGCCCCGCTCTAATAAGCGCCCATGGCGATAATTGCTTATATATTGGCTAGTGAACAATCCCAATTAGCACCCCTTCCGATTGATCAATGTACACAAGACTTATTTATTCTCGTATAATTCGCACTTGTGTTATATGCATCCTTAATTATGGGAAATTAAATTCTGGAAAAATATATCTGTCGTATATACACATTTCAGGCTGTCAGCATAAACCACAAAATTTATGATCTTTCAACTCTGTTGTTTTTCACCAAAATAATATTCTAATAAGAGCCCCCTATTTCTAATTTTGAGAGTGCCCTGGGTGCTTATTATGTCGAATATGGTACATTTTAAACCTCCACTACCCAGCCGAGGTATTTGCATGCACTTACCTGTGGAGAAGGCCACCAGGTAGTACTGGTAGTAGTTGCTATAGACCAGCAGGTCCTCGAACATCTCCGGGTACAGGATGAAACTGTAACAGAAACACACACTGTCAGACATAGCTGGACAGCAAGCATTTACTGCAATACCTACCAGCAAACATAAATATCGCGCTGATCAGCTGATGGTAAATAAGCCACACTCGGTTACCTCCCTTGAACACACGTGAACAGCTTGCCCTCCAATTACAACACATTTCTCCTGCTTTTGATATTATTTTTCGCCATGTGTCACGTATAGAAGTTGGCGAAAATAACTGAACAAAATTTTGTTATACTGTACTTTAAGTATTTGCAATTCTAATGATGTAAGTTTTATTAAAAAAATTCAACATATGAAGTTTGCAGTTACCAGATGAAATTACCCTACTTTTTGGACAGATTTTTTAAAAACATTTTCCCTTTCTAAGTCAAGATTACTGTTACTTATTTTTCAAAAGTACATTAATACAAACATAATGAATGTATGTTACTATTTGTGTCTTTCCTCATGTAAGTTAATACTTTTTTGATAACAAAAAAGGAAAAAAGTGCAAAAACAGGCCAAATCAAATTTCTGCGCAGAGTTTTGGGAATTGAATTGCTGCATAGGCAAGAGGCCACGCTGACTGCTGACATTCAAGCTAACACCGCCCAAAACAAGGGAACATCAAGCATTTTTATAAGGGAGGGGTCCAAAATATCAAAATCCTCTCTCAGATAATTTTACTGCCTACAACATACTACATTTGGTTTTCAAAGGGAGGGGTCCAGGCCCCTGGACCCAACCTCTGGATCCAACTATGCAAACCACTTTTGTCACTGTCACTGAAACTTAATCAGAGACCCAAGTAAGAGATGCTTGTCTGCCATGTCTCAGACTTGCATACATCACACATTAAAGGCAATCTTGAAGAAGTGAGTCTTCAGTTGGGACTTAAAGTAAAGAGGTAGGGCCCTGCTCTTTTGAATGAGCCATCGCCACCATTTGTGCATGTGGACTGGACCTCAACTACATGACGACCTGACAGTTAAGATTGTGGATCTCCATGACCTGTTCAGCAGACAACAGCAGTGGTGGAAGGTTTGCTTGTAGGCCAGTGTGTTGTGTGTTCCGACTGGTGTACCAGGTTTAAGTTGTAAACATGATGGTACAAGTACACTGTGGTTAAAAGCACAGCTTGACTTTCGTTCCCGTGAAATGGAAATCTATGAACTAAATGTCATGGACAGCTAATCCTTTACAATTAATTACAATACACTAATGTGAACAGCTACAATAAACCTGTCAAAATCAATGTGCACTTTCTGATATGCCACCATGCCCAATTCAGTTCCTGGATCAAAGGAAACAGGTTCTTCCATTGCACACAGAATTCCTATTCTCACAAAATGTGATGTTCTAAGCTGCTGACAATCAAGTATCATAATAAGAGCAATCCAAACACATGCTCATATGATCCTAGCACATCTAAGGGAGACAACTCTACATCACGAACTGCAGCACCTTTGACAACTGTACTGCCCATTGGCAAACTGTGTGCTGGTATCTTATTAATGTAAGATACTGCAGTTGAACCCCACTGTCTACCAAATCATGCAATTTTGTAATAATTGAGTGAGTGGTGTTTAACGCTGCCATTCCAGTTGTATCGTGGCGTGTCAGCTTAATGTGGGAGGAAAGCCCGAAGTGATGCAGGTCTCAGACATTTACCAGGTCGGTGAAACCCACGAGCATAGGTATGGTGTTGACAAACCTAGAAACATAATCGGGGCAAACCGGGATTCGAACCCAGAATCATAGGTTTCTGGCATGCCCAAACAACGCCAATTATGTAATAGGAAATAAACAGTTTCCTGTGTGTCCTTATCATGATCATACAATGTTATACTTGATACAAATTGTAACTTGTGAGTTTAATTGATCATGATTATCTTTAGTTTAAACTATTGGGACTATACAATGACTTCAAGACATCCGGGAATTTGACACTTCTGGGTTAAAATAGCAATAAGAAAGTTAGAGTTTGCTCGGACCAGGTTAAGAGTTTGACACAAACAGGGAATCTACACATCGAAGTTTGACACAACAGCTTGGATCTCTACATTCTCTCAACATCTCTTAATCAACAGTTGTCATGGTTATAATATTTACTCATAGTAGTGCAACGATCAGCAGGTTTCCAATCCAAAAGCATCTCATATTGCAAGCATTACATGCACTATTTCACAACATCGTCTACATCCTGCACTTGAGGGTACATGTTAAGATCAGAAATGGACACTGTGCATATATGACATGTTACAAAGGAAGCTGTATCACATTCTTGAACAACCCGTTTCGAGAGCAGGATACAAGATATGGACGTGGGGAGGTTTGGAAGTAAACATGGTAAATGTGCCAATTGCACTACCCAACCCAAACAACAGGCCCTTATTCATGTTGCTACGATAGGCTTACACAAAAAAGCAAAGAGAGTGCCAAGGGTTTTAAGACAGTATTAATTTCTTTTTCCTAATAAAAATTTGAAAAAAAAGACAGCGATGTTGTGAGGGCTGCATCCAAATCATGAACTTCTGATTCTGATCAGCTAGTCGAAGCGTTACCCGATGACCAAAGCTTGTTTGTTTAACCAGCAATATGAATTCCAGATTTATGACGGCAACCTGCAATCGAGTATGGACCAGACAATCCAGTGATTGATATCATGAGCATCAATCCATGCAATTGTGATTCGATGACATGCATCAACCAAGTCAGTGAGCCGGACCACCCAATCCCGTGAGTCGCCTTTTACGGGTTTTTAAAGACTTATTCTACCCCGGATCTTCGTGGGTCTCTACTACCTGATCCAGTTGAGGCTTCTTACCACAAGCATAGGTAACCATAGAGACCAATTTTAACCTAGAATCTCATGGTGGAAATTATTAAAGCATAACAATGATACATATCAATCTTATATAAATTACAAACATGTTCAACTGAATCATGTAATTTGAATGTCAATGTCAGATGATATTGATACACAATTATGATATATCACCCACATCAATACCAACATTTATCACCCATATCAATACCAACATATATCACCCATATCAATACCAAAATATACCACCCACATCAATACCAACATATATCACCAATATCAATCAATACCAAAATACATCAATCACTTTCTCAACTGATAATTCCCAACGCAGTGATTAGTAATTCCTTATACAAAGAAACTTGTCAAGCAGTTAATCCTTTTATTTATATACTTGGCGTTCATCAAATATCTACACGCTAGGCTAAATGACCGATGTAAATAATACACCTGTCAAAGTGTTTTCAAATAAACAACTTCCTGTTCCTTGACCTACAGGTGCGCGTTTCTGACAATTATTATTATCGCTTGAAGCATTATATTAGTATGGACAGATTTCTGATAAACACGGGTTAATAAAACTACATTATTTTACAGAACAGCTTACAAAATTACAATGAATTCGGTTGTCTTTGATAGAATGCTAGACGTGAAGTTCTAGCTAACACTTTGAACTTGTTGCGCCTAGCAATCGATACTGTCGACTGACGAACCGAAGTTTAGAAATCTATTCAACAAACAGAACTGATATCTGTAGGACTAGTGGCATTATCAACAAAAGCGGCCAAACGCACAGTCAATCTTACCTGCTTAGATCCCACACAGAGCATATCAAGGCATGCACCCACGAAACTAGTAAATTTCTCCATTTCCACGCATCTTCTTGAACAGATTTGGGTGCACCGACGAAACTGATCACCAAGTTGACAATAAAAAAGAAAAGTATGGTCGATATCATCATGGAATAGCCATAGCGAATATCTAAATTAGGATTATCCGGTAACCTGTCATTAAAAATGGCCATTTTCGTTTAATATCCTAACAGTTCTTCCTCAACTACAAACGAAAAACACCGGAACGAAATGCTTCGAGCGGAGTGTCACGTGACCATGTCGCTTATAACACAAACGATCGTTGCCATGTGCAGTGTCATATACAAATGTTGGACTCTCCTTGTGTTTATGGTCTATGTTTAATCAAGTTGTTGCACGGCATGTAATTAGATCGATTTAATTTTTTTAAGCAGTCGGTGTAAAGGTACTATGAAAATTTTATTTGAGAAAACGCCATGCATGTGATCTGATTTCCCAAGGCAATGCGTAGGCGAAAGGAGGCAAAGTATGTGAAAAGACCACGCCTTCTTTTGGCTGTTCGCTGGTCGAGCCGCTATCTATAATTCCATGTCACTTAAGTCGTCCTGACATGCATTAGTCATACAAATTATGCGTTGTTTAATTATCATGTGTTATATTATTCATAATTAATCATCAGATATAATGACACTCCGCATTTTGAGTTCTTATTCATCACAGAAGAGTCCACATATGTGATCGTATTCCATGTTGCTAGCAAAATCTGCATATTTTAATTACTTAAATTGTATGTTTATTGTCTTTGTATACGCTCTATCACTGTTTTTATTATAGTATGCAATGTAACACGGGTGCATATATTGGAGAGGACGATTTTTATGTCCAAATTAAATAAGGTTACAAAATGTTTTGTTGTTTGTTAGTTTAACGCCGCACTCAACAATGTTCCAGCTATATGACGGCGGTCTTTAAACAATCGAGTCTGGATCAGACAATCCAGTGATTGATATCATGAGCATCGATCCACGCAATTGGGATCGATGACATGCATTTACCAAGTGAGCGAGCCTGGCAACCGATCCCGTTCGTCGCCTCTTACAACAAAATGTAAAAGCCGCCTGTTAGAACTGCATACAAGGCGATATAAGATTGACCTAATAGTGAATATTAATGAAAAAACATATATCATTATATAATATTATCACCATTATCATCATCATCCCTATCCTCATCATCATGACAATGGTCATTAGCATTATGGTGTTATTGAAGAGAATATATGGATGTCAACTTCTTTATTACGAGGAACACAACGTTTCGGAGTATAATTATGCTTACTCCTTCATCGGGTGAATGAATGCCATGACATACTTACTTACTTACTTTGGAGATTTAACGTACGCTTTCCGACTGATGCGTATTTCGCACACGGGCCCGGCCAGGCCATTAAATGTGTTTCCGAAAGGGGCGAAAGTGGTGTGTGCAACCCAAGAGGGGGCTTTAGGGGTTGCTTATATAGAATTTGGGAATTTTGAGATTTGGAATAGATGCCAATGGGGTTGGGGAGGAGAACTGAGGGAGCTGGGTATGGTGGATGTTTGTTTGTTTATGTGATTTTGATTTGGTAGGTTATTGTGTTTTTATATGCGTTTTATTAGTTCCGTTTTGATTAAGAATACGCCTAAGGCCTTGAAGTTTTCTAGTTTATTTTGTGGGTTTAGTATTGCTTCTAGAGTGAGAGCCTTGTTTAGATTGAGGGTGGTTTGTAATGCGGTTCGATGTGTTAGGTAGCGTGTGCAGTGGATGAGTGCGTGTTCTGGGGTTTCTGGTTGTTTGCAGTGTGGGCAGTTACCTGTAGTGTGTTTTTTTATTTTTTAGGTGGTTATTTAGGTTGGTGTGTCCTGTTTGGAGTTTAGTGATTACTCTGTCGAATGCCATGAGGCAGAGAGCATGTATATGTACATGTAGGGACAACAAAATTAATAAGATAACAAAAGGTGGAAACTTACAAAGGGTAGAAACTAACAAGGGAAGCCAACAGATGATTGGCGCTGATAGGTGATTAACAATAGACAATGCATGGAAGCCAGCACTTCGCAGTAATTAGCGCTGATAGTATGGAAGCCAGTAGATAAGTAATGGGTAACTTACACTGGGCAAACGGGAGGCTGGGTAATTAGCACTGATAGGTGAAAGAATGGACATAGCAAAGGGCAAATTGAATCACCTATAGCTGGCTTCAATTTGCCCTTTGCTATATCATCTGTTGGCTTCCCTTGTTTGTTTCTACCCTTTGTTATTTTCCACCTTTTGTTATCTTATTAATTTTGTTGACCTTACATGTACATGTTCCCTCTGCCTCATGGTATTCTTTCACCTGATGAAGTAGTAAGCATATACTCCGAAACGTTGTGTTCCTCATAATAAAGAAGTTGACATCCATATATTCTCTTCCTTATGTGTATCACTTCTAAACGCCTTTCAAAGATCTATTACGGTGTTATTGTTGCTAGCGGTAGCTGTAGTAGTTATTATTGTTGTTATTGGTATTTATCGTTGGTTTGTTTTGTTTGTTTGTTTGTTGTTTAACGCCGCACTCGGCAATATTCCAGCTATATGACGGCGGTCTGTAAATAGTCGAGTCAGGACCAGACAATCCAGTGACTGACATCATGAGCCGGGCAAGAATAGAGCTCCCCAGTAACCTATAGGCTTTAGGGCATGGTCGTTATAGAGGGGACTATGGAGATTGGAGGGTCAGGCTCGCTGACTTGGTTGATGCGTGTTATCGTATCCCCATTTCGTGGATCGATGCTCACGAAATCACTTACATGATTGTAGACTCAATAATATACCGATCGCCGTCATATAGCTGGAATATTGCTGAGTGCGGCGTTAAACAAACAAGTCAAAACCATGTGTATAGCATGGTGACCCAGCTTCCCACTGGTCCAGATAACATACGGGCATCTTCACGTTTTAAGGAATATGTTACTGATACAGCGGTAGAAACTAACGGTTTCAGTCCACTAGTCCTTACAATTATAATATATAGCAAACCCCTTAGAAACGGCAAATTTCTACTCGTCCTAAACTACAGTAAACTACGGTTATAACGAACACGCTTATAACGAACTGACGGATATAACGAACTTATTTTTTGGTCCCGACTACTTGCTGTTGTTATGCTGTATATGTACTTATAACGAACTACGGTTATAACGAACTAAAATTAGTAGTCCCTTTGAGTTCGTTATAACCGTAGTTTACTGTATTGGGCAGTTTGGCAAGAACTACAGGACGAGTGCCAATTTCTAATGCTGCTGATGCATACAACCTCGCCTGTATATGGGACTTGAACTCAATAAAAGACAAGGCGTGGCGATTTCCGGGCGTGTATTGACCGTAATCACATCGGGCGGGATTCCGCTGGTATTCACTGTACATTCCTGTTGCAAATAATCTCCCCCACTGATAAGACGCGTCAAGTCAACACAGCCAGGAAGCAAAAATATGTATAATTCTTTTAGCTATTAAGAATTTACCCATTAATCAATATATTTGGGTATTGATGTTTTCTTTGGGTATTCATGTTATCAATATCTTTGGTTTGATACTTTCATTGGTATTCAATAAATGTATAGTATTACTCAATTAAGTCCGCCTTAAATAAGCTCACACATGCGATATGTGGCTAAGTTACAATAAGTGAGACGAAGCAGGTGCACGTTTGTGAATTATTCACAGCAGAGTTTAGAGTTCGTATACATATATGTACGCTTTTGATCAGTTTGTTAATTGTAAGGTGATGCGCACTGGTACAGATCACATGTACTTGGACCGTTCCCCGCGGGGTATCAGAATAGGCCCCAGTACCCCATGCTTGTAGTAAGAGCCGAGCGGGCTGTTACAATGTACGATCTAGCTGATTATGGGTAACCATGACCCAACAATATCATAATCAACCATTTTCGAGAGGTTTGAAACACCGTTCTTCTTTGTTGGCAATATTCCAGCTACATGACGGCGGTCTGTAAATATTCGAGTCTGGACCAGACAATCCAGTGATTAATATCATGAGCATTGATCTACGCAATTGGGATCGATAACATTCAATAACCAAGTCAGCGAATCTGATCACCCGATCCCGTTAGTCAGTTTACCGTACAAAGAAACGATAACTTGCACAGGCGAACGAAGGCAATATATTATTATTAATTTTACGGTACAATTATTAGTAATTTCCTGATTAAGTAAAAGAGAAAATTACAAAAATATGATTTACTTCGATTAAAGTAGTGTTCAATGTATATAAAGTTCATGTGCTCAAAACTCTAAAGAAATTTGCATCACTATGACCACTAGGAAACATACATCCTCGTCTCAGCTTGTATTTCGTACTTGGCTGCCTACTTTAGACCTTTGTTCAACATACATACTTGTATGGCCAGTCCATGAAATACAAGTTTTCTTTCATATTGTTTTATAAATACGACTTTAGAAGTGTATTTACACCTAGGTATGTACATGTACATTCAAAGACATTCGTGATAGTTTATTTCCAGTACAGTTTCCCATTTCATCAGATTCTACAAAAGGAAAAGTTTGAAATAGAAAATGATTGTAGATCAATGAAAGTAATGGAATTATTTGTCATAAAAGGAAAATATATTCTTGCATTGAACATAAAAAATATAACTAGAAAAAAATTTAATATAAAGGGCTTTCAGTTATTATGCCTTTCTTTTTTTTCTTTGGGCCTAGCTAAACTACAGCTTCGAGGGAACATATACAATTGAAAATTGTGAAAAAATGACCCACCAGAATGCATTCATTTTGCTCTTAGACACGATTTTCTTTTTACAAATTCTATTTCTTACTAAACAAAGTAATTATTACTAACTATTTATGTCACTGATCGAAGTATTTGATAGTTCAGATAATGCAGAGTTAAAAGAAATCCCCTTAACTTGAAAACATTTTTTCATTCAGAATTATGTCGATTATTTATATATTGTGTGTAGATCTAATTAATAATTACCTTTACTCTTTGTGTTATAAACTGAACCATGCGAGATTCTAATATATGAGGCTAAAATATTAAAACGGTTGTTTAATATTGGATCCATTTTGACAGTTTTCACACTGTAAAACATTCCATTCCATTACTCAACGATATGCACATTATTTACTTGAAATATCAAGCCGTCAAACAGATATGAAAAGCACATGTGTCAACATATACCATCATTAGAAAACTGTGCCAAATATTCTGACAGTGTTAGTCAAGTGATAAACCGTCTCTTTCACTCGTCGACCGCAGTAGAAATCTTACTTTTCGTAATGTACTAGATCGTTCTAGTGTAGTCAAAGAGAATATTTTTATTGGGAAACCGAAAACACGTGTATCCATGAGACAACCACAACATTAGATCAGCTGTTTGACATGACGTCATCCACGTCACAACACGCGTGGTCAAATCACACGCACTTGTCCAGACGACAAAATCACAGCGCCGGAAAATCACCGACCGTCTATTAGCCTACACAAATAAAATTAAAGATTGTAACGTCATTGAACCCCAAAAAATAAAGCGTTTACTTACTGCTGACTTTTCTGAAAACATATCAAATAAGAGTTGAAGACTCGTAATAGATTATCATACGTTAATCGAGAGTACCGTCTACATAAATAATTTGTAAATCTAATATTAATTACATCTAATATCCATGGCAGAATGTTGGAAATACGAGTTGTCGTATTATGATAATATGTTAAATTTTCTGAGGTGATTTATAAAGTGTATTTGATTATATATACATATACAATTGGTTATCAATCATCTTGTACAATCACAGCATGTACCATGTACATTAGACTCACGGATAATACTGTGTCAGCAAACCAATCACAGCGCCATTATCACAGGTTCAATAAAAGGAAAAACAAATGGAAATCGAACTTTACAGCACATCGTATCCTTAAGCGGTTTAACCAAATGCAAAAAGGTATTGCTGTCATCATTTTAGAAGTTATGCTGATGTTTTCAATAATTGTATTATGATTGTATCGCGTGTACCATCGACAGAAACGGGGGTCGAGCTACCATATGTGAAACCGACCTTGACACAATTTGTTTAGAATATGGCGTCGACACACGTTAGATGTCGTGGCCACACTTTTGAAATCTCCTTTTGCCACAAAATGTCCAACGGTTAGGGCAATTCATTCACACGGTCAGGTAGTTTAAGAAATCACGCATGACTCTTAGTCATTTCATGTGAAAAAAGCAGCAGTTATTTGTCAAAACGGGCGAACATGAAAGATTTGTTTATTTGTTGTTGTTGCGGTAACCAACCTCACAACCATCACTAGCGGTATAAGAATGCTAGGAAACTGAGAGTTATCGCCCTTCCGTTAGTGCCGCTTGTTGCCTAGCTACCGATCTCAGCAAAACGACGCCATTGTTGTTGCTAATGCATCTGCTATATCTCTCTGTTGTCAATCAATTTCTACCTTCGATTTTGAACATCGCTTGAGTTTTCAACATGATGTCAAGTAGTTATGTTCAAGGTACCAATATATCACAGTTTTAGGATGATTTTGTTTCAATCTGTTTTTTAATGTGGTGTGACGGGCCGATGTTTGTTATTGTCCTTTTTGTTCATAACGAACTGAATACACCCCCGTAAATTTTACGTTGATAAACGTACTGAAACGTTTCTTTGGATGTACTAAACGTGTTCCTTGTGTTTTTATGTAATATCTGATTAACTTAAATGGCTAATCCTCACATATGTAATGATAGATGTCCACTATATTCTTTAGTGTATCAAATATAAACACGATACAAATACACACAAGTAAACATGGTATACGTATGTCTACATGCTTACTTGTACCAGATTATGACTTCCCGTGTACTCTCTGTTTAACGTATTCTTATCACTTCGTTTCTCCCCCATACAGACAGGATGTTTCACCAGGATTTCACCCCTGCTGCCACTCCTGTCCCACGTCGAGTAGGTGTGCTAGGCTTGTAGAAACAGAAACAGAATAAAACGTGACATTAATTTTCTCAGTATTTGCTTTTGCAACCGATTCCTATGTAAGTCTAGTGTTGTTCCATATCCTTCTCCTGTATGACCACTCTTTCCTAACCCAGCTCACAACTAACCTTACCTATCACCCTTGTCTCATCACTTCTCTCTTTCCACCTCCTCCCCAGCGTCCTTGTGTGTACCGCCCTGAACCCCTGTCCGCCCTCCCCACCTCCTACACCTCTGTCCCCGACCCAGCCCCTGTCTGTGTTTCTGTCAACATCACCGGCCACGTTATTATGGTTGACACCGACTTTGTGGAGATCGATCTCGGCAATGAGGAAGACACACAACCCCTCCCACCCCAGTCCTTCCTGAGGGCCTTGCTGTCCCGCTTCATCCGTCTGGTCAAGAGAGTCTTCACCTCCAACAAAGACAACGTTTAAGTGACATTTAACACCATTCCCCATTCTTCTTTTTCGGGACATTTTGGCACATGAATTAACAATATTCCCTGTTTTCATTCCCACTTGGTTGTTCTTTCGTTAGTAAATCATGATGTTATTGTTCTAATTGTTGTTTGCTGCTGTATTTTATATCAAATGTAGATGTCCGGTTACACATCGATCAAACACCATCATCGCCATCACGCCCATATTCAAAAGACATTACAGTTATGCAAGCTCATTTGTCAGTCTGGGAGTCTACGTTCGTAGATCTCCTAAGGTCTGTGACAGCATGGCGAATAAATATCGAATACACATCAATAATGACCACTGAATATGTTACTGTGTGACTTTAAACACGGACTAACTCTTACGCAGATAATCATTTAATTCGAGATTGGTAAAGAGCCTGGGAATTTTGCAAGTCACGATGTTTGGATTTGGTTGGTTTGCTTGTATTCAGCAATATGACGGCGGTCTGTAAATAATCGAGGCTTGACCAGGCAATCCGGTGATTGACATCATGAACATCGATCCCCGCAATTGGGATCGATGACATGCATCGAACATGAAAGAGAACTGGTCGACAAGAAATCGCTGCACAGCTATGAATGCAAACGTGTCCTGTCCATCACTTCGGGCTTGTTTTGATCATGAACTTCCTGCCCATAAATATATACTATACGTCTCAATATTAACGATCATAGCTATCTTCCCACATCTTAGATTTGAATATTATCTGTAAATCAGTATCATAAACAGAAAGACAATCTGCACTGTCGTTTCGTCTCTCGCGCCGTGCTAAATCGTCATGACAGACGTCGATAGAAATATGCAATACTTGAACAAAACACTTCCGTTGCGGACTAAACGTCAGAAGTCTTATGCCGATAACTGTACAGTGGGGAAAAGTAAATATTTCTGACCAGTCTGAAGGGGTAGCCACTAAGGTAAAGTCCCCCTGCCAGGCACCAGGAGGGATAGCCACTAACCTAAGTCCCCCTGCCAGGCACCAGGAGGGATAGCCACTAAGCTAAAGTCCCCCTGCCAGGCACCAGGAGGGATAGCCACTAACCGAAGTCCCCCTGCCAGGCACATGGAGGGATAGCCACTAAGCTAAAGTCCCCCCTGCCAGGCACCAGGAGGGATAGCCACTAAGCTAAAGTCCCCCTGCAAAGCACCAGGAGGGGATAGGCACTAAGCTAAACTCCCCCATGCGAGCACCAGTAGACGTAGCCACTAAGCTAAACTCCCCCTGGCAGGCACCAGTAGAAGTAGCCACTAAACTAAAGTACCCCTGCCAGGCACCAGGAGTGATAGCCACTAAGGTAAACTCCCCCTGCCAGGCACCAGGAGGAGTAGCCATTAAGCTTAACTCCCCCTGCCAGGCACCAGGAGGAGTAGCCATTAAACTAAAGTCCCCCTGCCAGGGGTAGCCACTTAGCTAAACTCCCCCTGCCAGGCACCAGGAGGAGTAGCCATTAAACTAAACTCCCCCTGCCAGGGGTAGCCACTAAGGTAAAGTCCCCCTGCCAGGGGTAGCCACTCCCTTAGTGAGAGAGTTTGCTCGTCCACTACCTGTATGAATATTCCACCAAACATAAAGCAATTTACATATTGTACCCATTTGGGGTATCTCACCCGTCAACTCTCTATCTTTGATGGGATGCCACATCAACTTTCTGGTAGCCAACTACAGATAATAGTAAATCATTCAATGTCAACAGGACGTCTACAGGGGAACCTCGTCAGTCCGCACAGTACTGTTTCCAGAGAAAGCTGTCTAGATTATCGAATCAGGGATACGTATTAATATCCCTTTGATTATTCAAATATAAGCAGAGCGGATACAGATGTTTTGTACCCTTGAACCCAACCCAATCCCAATCCCAACCCCAACCCCATGCAATCTCTTTGGATACCCCTATTGTTAATCCTGTGTTTCGTTCGTCGCGCCATTGACCATACACCGATGGGTATATAGTCTCTGGGTCAACTGTAAACCAGAGTTCTTTTCACCAAATGGGTGCACTGTGTTTTATGCCATATTGACTAAACGACACATCAATTAATATTCTAGGAGGCTGTGATTTGTGTTAGGGACAGGATATATTTTCGGTCTGTGCTTCAAAACAAGTAATATATTCCTGTACAAGGAGAAACCAAACACTTCTTTTCACAAGATATTTCAGGACATCCTGCATGGTAACGAACAATTAATAATTTTAGGCAAAACATTAGTATTCCTATTTTACATTATAAATTAACGTTTTCAATTATTCTTCTTTACATTCCAATGGTCCATCCTAATTCATTTTAGACTGTCGAAACACTATGTTTGTGGCGATATGTTGCTTGTAACCGCACACGACTAGGATAGGGGGCCATAACCCAGAACAGCCGTGGTAAACGTTTATTATTTGTAGACTCCCCAGGGAGCGGATAATGAAAATCAAGTGCACATGGATCCATTGCGAGTCTAGCGCAGTAACGGTACACACATTATTTTTAGTAGTAGTAGTAGTAGTAGTAGTAGTAGTAGTAGTAGTAGTGCAAAACACCAGTTCAATTATTTAGCGATTTTGGTTCTCATAGTGGTAGGCGGTATCGTAAGAGTTTAGCAAGCCCAAAGTCTGATAATGTTCATCTTCAACAATTTGACCAGTCGTTGACCTTATGGTTCGATCGGAATGCCTTTATGTTCGAAATCGGTTGCCCTTACATGAACATATATATGCTCTCTGCCTCATGGCATTCTTTCACCTGATGAAGGAGTAAGCATATACACCTAAACGTTGTGTTCCTCATAATAAAGAAGTTAACATCCATATATTCTCTTCCTTATGTGTATCACTTCTAAATACCTTTCAAAGACCTACTATTGTTGTTATTGTTATTCATCGTTGGTTTGTTTGTTTGTTGTTTAACGCCGCACTCAGCAATATTCCAGCTATATGACGGCGGTCTGTAAATATTCGAGTCTGGACCAGAAAATCCAGTGATTAATATCATGAGCATCGATCTACGCAATTGGGATCGATGACATGCATCAACCAAGTCAGCGAATCTGATCACCCGATCCCATTAGTCAGTTTACCGTACAAAGAAACGATAACTTGCACAGGCGAACGAAGGCAATATATTATTATTAATCTTACGGTACAATCATTAGTAATTTCCTGATTAAGTGAAAGAGAAAATAACAAAAATATGAATTACTTCGATTAAAGAAGTGTTCAATGTATAATAGAAAGTTCATGTGCTCAAAACTCTAAAGAAATTTGCTTCGCTATGACCACCAGGAAACATACATCCTCGTCTCAGCTTGTATTTGGCTCTTGGCTGCCTACTTTAGACCTTTGCCAAAAGGGGGCACGGGTGGCCCAGTCGTCTAAAGCGCCGCGATTCGCTGTGCAGAGTTGCGTCCCTTGGGCACGCCAGAAACCTATGATTGTCGGTTCGAATCCAGGTTCGCCCCGATTATGTTTCTAGGTTTGTCAGCACCATACCCGTGCTCTTGGGTTTCACCGAAGTGGTAAACGTCTGAGACCTGCATCACTTCGAGCTTTCCTCCCACATTAAGCTGACACGCCGCTATGTAACTGGAATACTGTTAAAAGCGGCGTTAAACCGAACTCACTCACTCACTCATTAGAAAATTGTGCCAAATATTCTCACAGTGTTAGTCGAGTGATAAACCGTCTCTTTCACTCGTCGACCGCAGTGGAAATCTTCCTTTTCGTGATGTACTAGATCTTTCTAGTTCAGTCAGAGAGAATATTATTATTTTATTTTGGAAACCGAAAACACGTGTATCCATGAGACAACCACAACATTAGATCAGCTGTTTGACATGACGTCAACCACGTCACAACACGCGTGGTCAAATCACACGCACTTGTCCAGACGACAAAATCACAGCGCCGGGAAATCACCCTCCGTCTATTAGCCTACACAAATAAAATTAAAGATTGTAACGTCATTGACCAAAAAAAACAAAGCGTTTACTTACTGCTGACTTTTCTGAAAACATATCAAATAAGAGTTGAAGACTCGCAATAGATTATCATACGTTAATAATAATTAATTACATCTAATATCCATGGCAGAATATTGGAAATACGAGTTGTCGTATTATGATAAGATGTTAAATTTTCTGAGGAGATTTATAAAGTGTATTTGATTATATATACATATACAATTGGTTATCAATCATCTTGTACAATCACAGCATGTACCATGTACATTAGACTCACGGATAATACTGTGTCAGCAAACCAATCATAGCGCCATTATCACAGTTTCAATAAAAGGAAAAACAAATAGAAATCGAACTTTAAAGCACATCGTATCCTTAGGCGGTCAAACCAAATGCAAAAAGGTATTGCTGTCATCATTTTAGAAGTTATGCTGATGTTTTCAATAATTGTATTATGATTGTATCGCGTGTACCATCGACAGAAACGGGGTTCGAGCTACCATATGTGAAACCGACCTTGACACAATTTGTTTAGAATATGGCGTCGACACACGTTAGATGTCGTGGCCACACTTTTGAAATCTCCTTTTGCCACAAAATGTCCAACGGTTAGGGCAATTCATTCACACGGTCAGGTAGTTTGAGAAATCACGCATGACTCTTAGTCATTTCATGTGAAAAAAGCAGCAGTTATTTGTCAAAACGGGCGAACATGAAAGATTTGTTTATTTGTTGTTGTTGCGGTAACCAACCTCACAACCATCACTAGCGGTATAAGAATGCTAGGAAACTGAGAGTTATCGCCCTTCCGTTAGTGCCGCTTGTTGCCTAGCTACCGATCTCAGCAAAACGACGCCATTGTTGTTGCTACTGCATAGATCTGCTATATCTCTCTGTTGTCAATCAATTTCTACCTTCGATTTTGAACATCGCTTGAGTTTTCAACATGATGTCAAGTAGTTATGTTCAAGGTACCAATATATCACAGTTTTAGGATGCTTTTGTTTCAATCTGTTTTTTAATGTGGTGTGACGGGCCGATGTGTTTTATTGTCCTCTTTGTTCATAACGAACTGAATACACCCCGTACAATTTTACGTTGATAAACGTACTGAACCGTTTCTTTGGATGTACTAAACGTGTTCCTTGTGTTTTTATGTAATATCTGATTAACTTAAATGGCTAATCCTCACATATGTAATGAACATTTTCTGCCCCGATAGATGTCCACTATATTCTTTATTGTATCAAATATAAACACGATACAAATACACACAAGTAAACATGGTATACGTATGTCTACATGCTTACTTGTACCTGATTATGACTTCCTGTGTGTACTCTCTGTTTAACGTATTCTTATCACTTCGTTTCTCCCCCATACAGACAGGATGTTTCACCAGGATTTCACCCCTGCTGCCACTCCTGTCCCACATCGAGTAGGTGTGCTAGGCTTGTAGAAACAGAAACAGAATAAACGTGACATTAATTTTCTCAGTATTTGCTTTTGCAACCGATTCCTATGTAAGTCTAGTGTTGTTCCATATCCTTCTCCTGTATGACCACTCTTTCCTAACCCAGCTCACAACTAACCTTACCTATCACCCTTGTCTCATCACTTCTCTCTTTCCACCTCCTCTCCAGCGTCCTTGTGTGTACCGCCCTGAACCCCTGTCCGCCCTCCCCACCTCCTACACCTCTGTCCCCGTCCCAGCCCCTGTCTCTGTTTCTGTCAACATCACCGGCCACGTCATTATGGTTGACACTGACTTTGTGGAGATCGATCTCGGCCGTGAGGAAGACACACAACCCCTCCCACCCCAGTCCTTCCTGAGAGCCTTGCTGTCCCGCTTCATCCGTCTGGTCAAGAGAGTCTTCACCTCCAACAAAGACAACGTATAAGTGACATTTAACACCATTCACCATTCTTCTTTTGGGGGACATTTTGGCACATGAATTAACAATATTCCCTGTTTTCATTCCCACGTGGTTGTTCTTTCGTTAGTAAATCATGATGTTATTGTTCTAATTGTTGTTTGCTGCTGTATTTTATATCAAATGTAGATGTCCGGTTACACATGGATCAAACACCATCATCGCCATCACGCCCATATTCAAAAGCTTCCAGTGACATTACAGTTATGCAAGCTCATTTGTCAGTCTGGGAGTCTACGTTCGTAGATCTCCTAAGGTCTGTGACAGCATGGCGAATAAATATCGAATACACATCAATAATGACCACTGAATATGTTACTGTGTGACTTTAAACACGGACTAACTCTTACACAGATAATCATTTAATTCGAGATTGGTAAAGAGCCTGGGAATTTGCAAGTCACGATGTTTGGATTTGGTTGGTTTGCTTGTATTCAGCAATATGACGGCGGTCTGTAAATAATCGAGGCTTGACCAGACAATCCAGTGATTGACATCTTGAACATCGATCCACGCAATTGGGATCGATGACATGCATCGAACATGAAAGAGAACTGGTCGACAAGAAATCGCGGCACAGCTATGAATGCGAACGTGTCCTGTCCATCACTTCGGACTTGTTTTGATCATGAACTTCCTGCCCATAAATATACACTATACGTCTTAATATTAACGATCATAGCTATCTTTCCACATCTTAGATTTGAATGTTATCTGTAAATCAGTAAGCTAAGCTAAAGTCCCCCTGCCAGGCACCAGGAGGGATAGCCACTAAGCTAAAGTCCCCCTCCCAGGCACCAGGAGGGATAGCCACTAAGCTAAAGTCCCCCTGCCAGGCACCAGGAGGGGATAGCCACTAAGGTTAACTCCCCCTGGCAGGCACCAGGAGTGATAGCCACTAAGCTAAACTCCCCCTGCCAAGCACCAGGAGGGGATAGCCACTAAGCAAAAGTGCCCCTGCCAGGCACCAGGAGGGATAGCCACTAAGCTAAAGTCCCCCTGCCAGGCACCAGGAGGGGATAGCCACTAAGCTAAAGTCCCCCTGCCAGGCACCAGGAGGGATAGCCACTAAGCTAAAGTCCCCCTGCCAGGCACCAGGAGGGATAGCCACTAAGCTAAAGTCCCCCTGCCAGGCACCAGGAGGGGATAGCCACTTAGCTAAAGTCCCCCTGCCAGGCACCAGGAGGGGATAGCCACTAAAGTAAACTTCCCCCTGCCAGGCACCAGTAGGAGTAGCCACTTAGCTAAACTCAACCTGCCAGGCACCAGGAGGAGTAGCCACTTAGCTAAACTCACCCTGCCAGGCACCAGTAGGAGTAGCCACTAAGGTAAACTCACCCTGCCAGGCACCAGTAGGAGTAGCCACTTAGCTAAACTCACCCTGCCAGGGGTAGCCACTAAGCTAAAGTCCCCCTGCCAGGCACCAGGAGGGATAGCCACTAAGCTAAAGTCCCCCTGCCAGGGGTAGCCACTCCCTTAGTGAGAGGGTTTGCTCGTCCACCCAACCCCATGCAATCTCTTTGGATACCCCTATTGTTAATCCCGTGTTTCGTTCGTCGCGCCATTGACCATACACCGATGGGTATATAGTCTCTGGGTCAACTGTAAACCAGAGTTCTTTTCACCAAATGGGTGCACTGTGTTTTATGCCATACTGACTAAACGACACATCAATTAATATTCTAGGAGGCTGTGTTTTGTGTTAGGGACAGGATATATTTTCGGTCTGTGCTTCAAAACAAGTAATATATTCCTGTACAAGGAGAAACCAAACACTTCTTTTCACAAGACATTTCAGGACATCCTGCATGTTAACGAACAATTAATAATTTTAGGCAAAACATTAGTATTCCTATTTTACATTATAAATTAACGTTTTCAATCATTCTTCTTTACATTCCAATGGTCCATCCTAATTCATTTTAGACTGTCGAAACACTATGTTTGTGGCGATATGTTGCTTGTAACCGCACACGACTAGGATAGGGGGCCATAACCCAGAACAGCCGTGGTAAACGTTTATTATTTGTAGACTCCCCAGGGAGCGGATAATGAAAATCAAGTGCACATGGATCCATTGCGAGTCTAGCGCAGTAACGGTACACACATTATTTTTAGTAGTAGTAGTAGTAGTAGTAGTAGTAGTGCAAAACACCAGTTCAATTATTTAGCGATTTTGGTTCTCATAGTGGTAGGCGGTATAGTAAGAGTTTAGCAAGCCCAAAGTCTGATAATGTTCATCTTCAACAATTTGACCAGTCGTTGACCTTATGGTTCGATCGGAATGCCTTTATGTTCGAAATCGGTTGCCCTTACATGAACATATATATGCTCTCTGACTCATGGCATTCTTTCACCTGATGAAGGAGTAAGCATATACTCCGAAACGTTGTGTTCCTCATAATAAAGAAGTTGACATCCATATATTCTCTTCCTTATGTGTATCACTTCTAAATACCTTTCAAAGACCTATTATTGTTGTTATTGTTATTTATCGTTGGTTTGTTTGTTTGTTGTTTAACGCCGCACTCAGCAATATTCCAGCTATATGACGGCGGTCTGTAAATATTCGAGTCTGGACCAGACAATCCATTGATTAATATCATGAGCATCGATCTACGCAATTGGGATCGATGACATGCATCAACCAAGTCAGCGAATCTGATCACCCGATCCCATTAGTCAGTTTACCGTACAAGGAAACGATAACTTGCACAGGCGAACGAAGGCAATATATTATTATTAATCTTACGGTACAATCATTAGTAATTTCCTGATTAAGTGAAAGAGAAAATTACAAAAATATGAATTACTTCGATTAAAGAAGTGTTCAATGTATAATATAAAGTTCATGTGCTCAAAACTCTAAAGAAATTTGCTTCGCTATGACCACCAGGAAACATACATCCTCGTCTCAACTTGTATTTGGCTCTTGGCTGCCTACTTTAGACCTTTGCCAAATGGGGGCACGGGTGGCCCAGTCGTCTAAAGCGTGCGATTCGCTGTGCAGAGTTGCGTCCCTTGGGCACGCCAGAAACCTATGATTGTCGGTTCGAATCCAGGTTCGCCCCGATTATGTTTCTAGGTTTGTCAGCACCATACCCGTGCTCTTGGGTTTCACCGAAGTGGTAAACGTCTGAGACCTGCATCACTTCGAGCTTTCCTCCCACATTAAGCTGACACGCCGCTATGTAACTGGAATACTGTTGAAAGCGGCGTTAAACCGAACTCACTCACACACTCATTAGAAAATTGTGCCAAATATTCTCACAGTGTTAGTCGAGTGATAAACCGTCTCTTTCACTCGTCGACCGCAGTGGAAATCTTCCTTTTCGTGATGTACTAGATCTTTCTAGTTCAGTCAAAGAGAATATTATTATTTTATTTTGGAAACCGAAAACATGTGTATCCATGAGACAACCACAACATTAGATCAGCTGTTTGACATGACGTCATCCACGTCACAACACGCGTGGTCAAATCACACGCACTTGTCCAGACGACAAAATCACAGCGCCGGGAAATCACCCTCCGTCTATTAGCCTACACAAATAAAATTAAAGATTGTAACGTCATTGACCCAAAACAATAAAGCGTTTACTTACTGCTGACCTTTCTGAAAACATATCAAATAAGAGTTGAAGACTCGCAATAGATTATCATACGTTAATAATAATTAATTACATCTAATATCCATGGCAGAATATTGGAAATACGAGTTGTCGTATTATGATAAGATGTTAAATTTTCTGAGGAGATTTATAGAGTGTATTTGATTATATATACATATACAATTGGTTATCAATCATCTTGTACAATCACAGCATGTACCATGTACATTAGACTCACGGATAATACTATTTCAGCAAACCAATCATAGCGCCATTATCACAGTTTCAATAAAAGGAAAAACAAATAGAAATCGAACTTTAAAGCACATCGTATCCTTAAGCGGTCAAACCAAATGCAAAAAGGTATTGCTGTCATCATTTTAGAAGTTATGCTGATGTTTTCAATAATTGTATTATGATTGTATCGCGTGTACCATCGACAGAAACGGGGGTCGAGCTACCATATGTGAAACCGACCTTGATACAATTTGTTTAGAATATGGCGTCGACACACGTTAGATGTCGTGGCCACACTTTTGAAATCTCCTCATGCCACAAAATGTCAAACAGTTAGGGCAATTCATTCACACGGTCAGGTAGTTTGAGAAATCACGCATGACTCTAAGTCATTTCATGTGAAAAAAGCAGCAGTTATTTGTCAAAACGGGCGAACATGAAAGATTTGTTTGTTTGTTGTTGTTGCGGTAACCAACCTCGCAACCATCACTAGCGGTATAAGAATGCTAGGAAACTGAGAGTTATCGCCCTTCCGTTAGTGCCGCTTGTTGCCTAGCTACCGATCTCAGCAAAACGACGCCATTGTTGTTGCTACTGCATAGATCTGCTACATCTCTCTGTTGTCAATCAATTTCTACCTTCGATTTTGAACATCGCTTGAGTTTTCAACATGATGTCAAGTAGTTATGTTCAAGGTACCAATATATCACAGTTTTAGGATGATTTTGTTTCAATCTGTTTTTTAATGTGGTGTGACGGGCCGATGTGTTTTATTGTCCTCTTTGTTCATAACGAACTGAATACACCCCGTACAATTTTACGTTGATAAACGTACTGAAACGTTTCTTTGGATGTACTAAACGTGTTCCTTGTGTTTTTATGTAATATCTGATTAACTTAAATGGCTAATCCTCACATATGTAATGAACATTTTCTGCCCCGATAGATGTCCACTATATTCTTTATTGTATCAAATATAAACACGATACAAATACACACAAGTAAACATGGTATACGTATGTCTACATGCTTACTTGTACCTTATTATGACTTCCTGTGTACTCTCTGTTTAACGTATTCTTATCACTTCGTTTCTCCCCCATACAGACAGGATGTTTCACCAGGATTTCACCCCTGCTGCCACTCCTGTCCCACATCGAGTAGGTGTGCTAGGCTTGTAGAAACAGAAACAGAATAAACGTGACATTAATTTTCTCAGTATTTGCTTTTGCAACCGATTCCTATGTAAGTCTAGTGTTGTTCCATATCCTTCTCCTGTATGACCACTCTTTCCTAACCCAGCTCACAACTAACCTTACCTATCACCCTTGTCTCATCACTTCTCTCTTTCCACCTCCTCTCCAGCGTCCTTGTGTGTACCGCCCTGAACCCCTGTCCACCCTCCCCACCTCCTACACCTCTGTCCCCGACCCAGTCCCTGTCTCTGTTTCTGTCAACATCACCGGCCACGTCATTATGGTTGACACCGACTTTGTGGAGATAGATCTCGGCCGTGAGGAAGACACACAACCCCTCCCACCCCAGTCCTTCCTGAGGGCCTTGCTGTCCCGCTTCATCCGTCTGGTCAAGAGAGTCTTCACCTCCAACAAAGACAACGTATAAGTGACATTTAACACCATTCCCCATTCTTCTTTTGGGGGACATTTTGGCACATGAATTAACAATATTCCCTGTTTTCATTCCCACGTGGTTGTTCTTTCGTTAGTAAATCATGATGTTATTGTTCTAATTGGTGTTTGCTGCTGTATTTTATATCAAATGTAGATGTCCGGTTACACATCGATCAAACACCATCATCGCCATCACGCCCATATTCAAAAGCTTCCAGTGACATTACAGTTATGCAAGCTCATTTGTCAGTCTGGGAGTCTACGTTCGTAGATCTCCTAAGGTCTGTGACAGCATGGCGAATAAATATCGAATACACATCAATAATGACCACTGAATATGTTACTGTGTGACTTTAAACACGGACTAACTCTTACGCAGATAATCATTTAATTCGAGATTGGTAAAGAGCCTGGGAATTTGCAAGTCACGATGTTTGGATTTGGTTGGTTTGCTTGTATTCAGCAATATGACGGCGGTCTGTAAATAATCGAGGCTTGACCAGACAATCCAGTGATTGACATCTTGAACATCGATCCACGCAATTGGGATCGATGACATGCATCGAACATGAAAGAGAACTGGTCGACAAGAAATCGCGGCACAGCTATGAATGCGAACGTGTCCTGTCCATCACTTCGGACTTGTTTTGATCATGAACTTCCTGCCCATAAATATATACTATACGTTTCAATATTAACGATCATAGCTATCTTCCCACATCTTAGATTTGAATATTATCTGTAAATCAGTATCATAAACAGAAAGACAATCTGCACTGTCGTTTCGTCTCTCGCGCCGTGCTAAATCGTCATGACAGACGTCGATAGAAATATGCAATACTTGAACAAAACACTTCCGTTGCGGACTAAACGTCAGAAGTCTTATGCCGATAACTGTACAGTGGGGAAAAGTAAATATTTCTGACCAGTCTGAAGGGGTAGCCACTAAGGTAAAGTCCCCCTGCCAGGCACCAGGAGGGATAGCCACTAACCTAAGTCCCCATGCCAGGCACCAGGAGGGATAGCCACTAAGCTAAAGTCCCCCTGCCAGGCACCAGGAGGGATAGCCACTAACCGAAGTCCCCCTGCCAGGCACATGGAGGGATAGCCACTAAGCTAAAGTCCCCCCTGCCAGGCACCAGGAGGGATAGCCACTAAGCTAAAGTCCCCCTGCAAAGCACCAGGAGGGGATAGGCACTAAGCTAAACTCCCCCATGCGAGCACCAGTAGACGTAGCCACTAAGCTAAACTCCCCCTGGCAGGCACCAGTAGAAGTAGCCACTAAACTAAAGTACCCCTGCCAGGCACCAGGAGTGATAGCCACTAAGGTAAACTCCCCCTGGCAGGCACCAGGAGGAGTAGCCATTAAGCTTAACTCCCCCTGCCAGGCACCAGGAGGAGTAGCCATTAAACTAAAGTCCCCCTGCCAGGGGTAGCCACTTAGCTAAACTCCCCCTGCCAGGCACCAGGAGGAGTAGCCATTAAACTAAACTCCCCCTGCCAGGGGTAGCCACTAAGGTAAAGTCCCCCTGCCAGGGGTAGCCACTCCCTTAGTGAGAGAGTTTGCTCGTCCACTACCTGTATGAATATTCCACCAAACATAAAGCAATTTACATATTGTACCCATTTGGGGTATCTCACCCGTCAACTCTCTATCTTTGATGGGATGCCACATCAACTTTCTGGTAGCCAACTACAGATAATAGTAAATCATTCAATGTCAACAGGACGTCTACAGGGGAACCTCGTCAGTCCGCACAGTACTGTTTCCAGAAAAAGCTGTCTAGATTATCGAATCAGGGATACGTATTAATATCCCTTTGATTATTCAAATATAAGCAGAGCGGATACAGATGTTTTGTACCCTTGAACCCAACCCAATCCCAATCCCAACCCCAACCCCATGCAATCTCTTTGGATACCCCTATTGTTAATCCTGTGTTTCGTTCGTCGCGCCATTGACCATACACCGATGGGTATATAGTCTCTGGGTCAACTGTAAACCAGAGTTCTTTTCACCAAATGGGTGCACTGTGTTTTATGCCATATTGACTAAACGACACATCAATTAATATTCTAGGAGGCTGTGATTTGTGTTAGGGACAGGATATATTTTCGGTCTGTGCTTCAAAACAAGTAATATATTCCTGTACAAGGAGAAACCAAACACTTCTTTTCACAAGATATTTCAGGACATCCTGCATGGTAACGAACAATTAATAATTTTAGGCAAAACATTAGTATTCCTATTTTACATTATAAATTAACGTTTTCAATCATTCTTCTTTACATTCCAATGGTCCATCCTAATTCATTTTAGACTGTCGAAACACTATGTTTGTGGCGATATGTTGCTTGTAACCGCACACGACTAGGATAGGGGGCCATAACCCAGAACAGCCGTGGTAAACGTTTATTATTTGTAGACTCCCCAGGGAGCGGATAATGAAAATCAAGTGCACATGGATCCATTGCGAGTCTAGCGCAGTAACGGTACACACATTATTTTTAGTAGTAGTAGTAGTAGTAGTAGTAGTAGTAGTGCAAAACACCAGTTCAATTATTTAGCGATTTTGGTTCTCATAGTGGTAGGCGGTATAGTAAGAGTTTAGCAAGCCCAAAGTCTGATAATGTTCATCTTCAACAATTTGACCAGTCGTTGACCTTATGGTTCGATCGGAATGCCTTTATGTTCGAAATCGGTTGCCCTTACATGAACATATATATGCTCTCTGACTCATGGCATTCTTTCACCTGATGAAGGAGTAAGCATATACTCCGAAACGTTGTGTTCCTCATAATAAAGAAGTTGACATCCATATATTCTCTTCCTTATGTGTATCACTTCTAAATACCTTTCAAAGACCTATTATTGTTGTTATTGTTATTTATCGTTGGTTTGTTTGTTTGTTGTTTAACGCCGCACTCAGCAATATTCCAGCTATATGACGGCGGTCTGATCACCCGATCCCATTAGTCAGTTTACCGTACAAGGAAACGATAACTTGCACAGGCGAACGAAGGCAATATATTATTATTAATCTTACGGTACAATCATTAGTAATTTCCTGATTAAGTGAAAGAGAAAATTACAAAAATATGAATTACTTCGATTAAAGAAGTGTTCAATGTATAATATAAAGTTCATGTGCTCAAAACTCTAAAGAAATTTGCTTCGCTATGACCACCAGGAAACATACATCCTCGTCTCAACTTGTATTTGGCTCTTGGCTGCCTACTTTAGACCTTTGCCAAATGGGGGCACGGGTGGCCCAGTCGTCTAAAGCGTGCGATTCGCTGTGCAGAGTTGCGTCCCTTGGGCACGCCAGAAACCTATGATTGTCGGTTCGAATCCAGGTTCGCCCCGATTATGTTTCTAGGTTTGTCAGCACCATACCCGTGCTCTTGGGTTTCACCGAAGTGGTAAACGTCTGAGACCTGCATCACTTCGAGCTTTCCTCCCACATTAAGCTGACACGCCGCTATGTAACTGGAATACTGTTGAAAGCGGCGTTAAACCGAACTCACTCACACACTCATTAGAAAATTGTGCCAAATATTCTCACAGTGTTAGTCGAGTGATAAACCGTCTCTTTCACTCGTCGACCGCAGTGGAAATCTTCCTTTTCGTGATGTACTAGATCTTTCTAGTTCAGTCAAAGAGAATATTATTATTTTATTTTGGAAACCGAAAACATGTGTATCCATGAGACAACCACAACATTAGATCAGCTGTTTGACATGACGTCATCCACGTCACAACACGCGTGGTCAAATCACACGCACTTGTCCAGACGACAAAATCACAGCGCCGGGAAATCACCCTCCGTCTATTAGCCTACACAAATAAAATTAAAGATTGTAACGTCATTGACCCAAAACAATAAAGCGTTTACTTACTGCTGACCTTTCTGAAAACATATCAAATAAGAGTTGAAGACTCGCAATAGATTATCATACGTTAATAATAATTAATTACATCTAATATCCATGGCAGAATATTGGAAATACGAGTTGTCGTATTATGATAAGATGTTAAATTTTCTGAGGAGATTTATAGAGTGTATTTGATTATATATACATATACAATTGGTTATCAATCATCTTGTACAATCACAGCATGTACCATGTACATAAGACTCACGGATAATACTATTTCAGCAAACCAATCATAGCGCCATTATCACAGTTTCAATAAAAGGAAAAACAAATAGAAATCGAACTTTAAAGCACATCGTATCCTTAAGCGGTCAAACCAAATGCAAAAAGGTATTGCTGTCATCATTTTAGAAGTTATGCTGATGTTTTCAATAATTGTATTATGATTGTATCGCGTGTACCATCGACAGAAACGGGGGTCGAGCTACCATATGTGAAACCGACCTTGACACAGTTTGTTTAGAATATGGCGTCGACACACGTTAGATGTCGTGGCCACACTTTTGAAATCTCCTCATGCCACAAAATGTCAAACAGTTAGGGCAATTCATTCACACGGTCAGGTAGTTTGAGAAATCACGCATGACTCTAAGTCATTTCATGTGAAAAAAGCAGCAGTTATTTGTCAAAACGGGCGAACATGA